GAGTGTGTGTGTCTGTGTGAGAGTGTGTGTGTGTGTGTGAGCCGCACCAGCGCAGGAATCACCAGTTTAACGGGCGTGGCTGACGAGTATCTGCGTGATTTCCTGATGGCGAACTTCTCCGTCGGGATGGATTTCCCGGCCAATCGCTGCTTCAGTCCCTCCACCTGCCTACAACACACGCGGCAGAAAGTCAGCCTCAGCAAACGCAGGAACAGACCTGAGATCAGAGCCAGACTCACCTGAACAGCTCCACCACGTCCTCTCCGCTCGTCTTCAGCTCCTCCTCAGACATCATGCTCAGGATGGCAGCTTTCTGATAAACGTAGATGGCCTGCGACGCCAGCAAACACTGATCAGCATTTATTCCTACAGTGCTTTACACTAAAGCGAGCAGATTTCCTAGTTGAGTGCAGTGCTATTTTACTATATTTGAGATACTATTTTATTAATATTTTGTATCAGTTTATATTTTTATATTTTACACTTTTATTTGAAAGTTTAAGTAATTTTGTTGTGTTTTTGTTTATATAATTTTTATTTCAGTTTAAGCTATTTGAAGTTAAAATCAATAAAAAGAGAAATTTTTCCTTTATATATATTTATTTATTTATTTATTTATTTAATACTTTTATAGTTTCATAGTTTTTGTATATTTACTTATTTTATACTATATAGTTTGTTTTATTTTATTTAAGTTAATGTTTATTTTTTTCAAGTAACAAATTTATTTTATACTTTTATAGTTTTTATATATTTACTTTATACTATAGTTATAGTTTTTTATATTTTATTTCATTTCAGTCAATGTTTATTTTATTTCAAGTAACAACATTTAAAAAACATTTTTTTTTTAATGTTTTAATTTTAGTTTCAGTTTTAGTTACCTGTAACAACCCTGATTAAATGTCAAAATATCTTTGAAATCTCACTTGTTATTATTAATAAATTTAATAAATAGGGGACCATACATTTAGTATGTTTTTGTTTTTTTAACTGTTGTGCGTTTATTATAATAAATAATTATTATTACGTTTTAATACAGCAAAAATCACACTATTAAAACAGTTGCAAAAAATCTAAACATTATTACTATTATACATATTATTATAAGTATAATATAACATATTATATTATACTTTTCAAAAACACATTATAAAATAAAAAAAAAAAACAAATATGATAAAACTTAATTAACAAATATTTTTTTTAAATTCTAAATGTATTTATTTGAATACATTGAATATACTGTATACAGTAATTTTTTTGTTATTTTATGTTTCTGCTTTTGGATCTATAATTCTAATAAACCATAATTCTAGGCTCATTTTGAGACAAAGCATGTGCTTTCTACAAGTGTAATTGTTTAGTAGATTATTTTTATTTATGCATCTCTTTTGTATTTTTACCAAATGTGGTAAAGGTAAGCTGTGACTTTAAAAGAACTTTAAAAGTGTGTTCAAAACCCAGATCTAGTCACCTTACTTTATACAATACAGATCGCTTCAAGCAGCTTCATATTAATAAACAGGAAAATAATAGTATTAATGTTATGAAATTCATTAGTTATGAATCAAATTCAGTTCCAGCTGAGTCATTATTCAGATCAGTTCAGCGCTGTTTTTAACTGATAAGAGTCAGTGCAGTTCAATCAATGATATTAGTGAATATGAGGTGTGATTTGTGTGTGTTACTTTAGACCAGCGGCTCTCTCGGCACAGCAGGTCTGCGTATCGATACGCGTCTCTCCACTGCTGCTGGAACGAGTGACACCACATCAGCTCCCAATAACACAGATGATGGATCTGACGCCACTGCTGCTGCGCGGAGATACACTCCTGGAACTTCACCAGCGCCTGACACACACGCACGCACGCACGCACGCACGCACGCACGCACGCACACACACA